CCGTGGCTCAGGGGGTTGGGAAGCGTATCTGTAACCGGAAGGTCGCCGGGCCAGAGGGGCTGATGGTGCGATATGGCAGTCAGTCTGCCCCAGGGACAACCGTAGCTGCCTCCACCAGTGTGTGAATGTGAGCGTGAATGAATAGTGGCATTGTAAAGCGCTTTGGGTGCCTTGAAAAGTGCTATATCAATCCATTATTATTATCTATTTATAAAGTTGGGGAAACCTGCAGTCAGCTGTCAACAGTCTGGTTAACAGCTAGCTGGCCTTGCAACATATGGTAACATGTTATTATAGCAACCAAATTATTTCCATTATTTCCTTCACACAAGATCTCACCCCATGGGGTCAAAATAATCACAAGAACAGTGAGCAAACATCTCAGAACCACATGGGGGGACTTTGTGAATGACGCGCTGAGAGCTGAGGCCAAAGTAACAAAAGCTTCTATCAATAACACGCTACGCCGCCAGGGACTCAAATCCTGCAGTGCCAGTTGTATCCCCCAGCTTAAGCCAGTACATGTCCAAGCCTGTCTGAAGTTTGCTGTAGAGCATTTGGATGATCGAGAAGAGGATGGGGAAAATGTCACATGGTCAGATGAAACCAAAATAGAACTTTTTGGTAAAAACTCCTCATGTTTGGAGGAGAAAGAATGCTGAGTTGCATCCAAAGAACACCATACCTACTGTGAAGCATGGGGGTGGAAACATCATGCTTTGGGCTGTTTTTCTGTAAAGGGACCAGGATGACTGATCCATGTAAAGGAAAGAATGAATGGGGCCATGTATCGTCAGATTTTGATTGAAAACCTCCTTCCATCAGCAAGAGCATTGAAGATAAAACATGGCTGGGTCTTTCAGAATGACAGTGATCCCAAACACACCACCCGGGTAACAAAGGAGTCGCTTCATAAGAAGCATTTTAAGGTCCTGGAGTTGCCTAGTCAGTCTCCAGATCTCAACCCCATAGAAAATCTTGGAGGGAGTTGAAAGTCCGTCTAGCCCAGCGACAGCCCCCAAACATTACTGTTCTAGAGGAGATCTGCATGGAGGAATGGGCCAAAATACCAGCAACAATGTGTGAAAACCTTCTGAAGACTTAAAGAAAACATTTAACCATTTGAAGGGTATGTAATAAAGTGCTGACATTAAGTTTTGTTATTGAGAAAATACTTATTTTCCACCCTGATTTGCAAATAAATTATTTAAAAATCAGACAATGTGATTTTCTGAGTTTTCTTTTTTCTAATTCTGTCTCTCATAGTTGAGGTATATCTATAATGAAAATTACAGGCCTCGCTCATCTTTTTAAGTGGGAGAACTCGCACAATTGATGGCTGACTAAGTACTTTTATGCCCCACTGTAGCTGTGTGGAAGATCTAATACAATTTTACAAAGTTTTGACCATCTTAAAATATGATGTCTCTTATAGATGCATATCTTAAAACTCCAGGAAGTAAAACCAAAACAGCATGAAATGCAGTGGTGAAAGTATTTTTCAACTACACCTTAAATGTAGTTGGTGAAGTGTGCACAGGAATAAATGTGTGAAAGCAGTCGCCCACGACCACTGGAGGCTTTACACTTTGCAAAAGTTATGACACAGCACAAAGAAATTAGTGTACAGTTTGTTTACTACGGTTAAAAAAAGCAAGACCAAACAAAACCACTGAGTAAAAACAACGTAATGTAATGGTGAGAAATAGATGCTGACACAGACAAACACAAAAAACCCATCTGATCTATTAATACTCTCATGTAACCAGTGACTTGAGTGGAGGGTGCAACCTTTAAAGTAGCCAGCTCACAGCAGTTGACTTTTGTTTTGAGTGCTGTGGTGAATAAGGTGAGAACAGGTTTCCACTGGTGGAAACTTGAGACCTAGCTTGTGTACAGGAAGACTGGCCTGTGGCTTCTAGGCCACAGTGTGCTCAAGTTCAGACAGACGAGTCAAGAGAAGCCATTTTGTGTATTTCGTGTTACCTCATTAGTGGCAACAACCCTGTTTAGAAAATGTCTGAACGGAGTAGCACGTTCATGTTTAATGCAGTGGGAGATGCAGTATTGAAGTGAATACCATGTTACATTCAGCTTTCCATGAACTGAAGCGTTCCTTTATTTACTTTGGCAAACACTTAACAGTGTTTTAATCACTAAATGTACTTGATACTGTTTAACATTATTTATAGTGAAGTGGTTTATGAAGTGATGAAATAAAACCAAGAGTTGGGCATCACAGACATCATACTGTTGATGTCTATCGACCAGTGAACAGTCTTAGGCATTCCCTTACAGATGCAATCACTTATAGCAGTTATAAGTGGTTGCTATGTTGCTTGAATTGTGCACTGGCTTCTTGAGATTATCCAAATGGGTCAGATGTCAGTTGTCTCATTTAAATCATGTGTACCCATAACCAACTCAAATGTGTTCATTGAAAAATGAAGGTGACTAATTTATTTTGTCCTAAACTAGTTCAGAAATTTGCACTTGAATCATGAACATTTCTGATGCTGCTAAGCTTTTTAAACCAACAGTAGTTGCATCGACTCCTACTCCCACCCTCGCTATGGGCCACTGTGATATTTTCCATGTATGGTATATTATTTCTATGTGATTCTTATTCTAGTGCAGAGCTGTCAAACATATTGCCTGACCTGAAGGTTTAATCTAATCCACCAAATAACTTTACCAAGTGTAAAAATTAAAGTTACACTGCTAACAATGGCAATTCAATGAAAACACTGCTTGTACCGCTGCTGGACCGTACCAACATTACCAAGCAGGGAAGTAAATTTTTTTAATTTCCTCATTTCTCCTTTATTTGTGGGTTATAACAAAGTTAAACGCTATGGTTTTGTTTAATTACAAAAACTTACCTTTTGAAGCTTTTATGAAGTTGGATATAACTTTATAAAGTTTTATATTTTATACATGTAATCATAGTTAATTGACTCAATAGAAATATTTTTGGAATTGCAAATAGATATTGAATTGTATAAATATATAAACCATGCAATCTATTGCTAAGGAGAGATGTTGTTGATGTTGACTGTTTCCAAAATAGGACCTTCAGACTGACTGGCCAATCAGACACAGTCTTCTCTGTGAAGAGTGGAAAACGTATACAGATTGTGTTCATTCCTCACAGCATTTGAAGCACGATGACACCTCCAACCTGTGCTTTGTATTTCATCTGTCTGTTCGTGGCAGATATGGGTAAGTTATGCTTTGTACCTTCTTCTTGTTCATTTTAACCTAAAACCAACATCTTTGCTTGTTCAATTCTTATGGTGGAAGATGCATATTTTGGATATATATTACATTTATTTTCACATTTATGTGATTTGTGTCCTCATTTTTTCTCCTCAGCTCATACAACGCTCTTGAAAAATACAGCGTTACATTTTAAACCAGCCCATGTTGGGGAAACTCTGACTTTGGAATGCCAATGTGAAGACAAATCAGCAGTGATGCTTTACTGGTATAAGCAAACTTTAGGAAATAGACCAAGGCTGATGTCTACATACTACAAGCACAGTCATAATGGTACTTTTCAGGATCCGTTCAACATTCCCCGTTTTTCACTGGGTACTGGAAACGTACTGAAGATATCAGATTTGAGAACTTCAGACTCAGCTACTTATTACTGCGTAATGAGCAATTTATATGACTTTAAATTTTGTGAAGGCACAATTGTCAGTGTAAAGGGTTCAGATCAGAACATCCGAGCTTTAGTCTACCAGCTGTCATCTGAAACCCTACAGCCAGTGCACTCTATGGTTCTGAACTGTATAGTACAACCTGGGACCTGTGATGAAGAACACAGTGTTTACTGGTTCAGAAAGTCTGAAGCAACTCTTCCAGGAATCATTTACACCAATGGAAGCAGGAACGATCCCTGTGAGAGGAAACCCAACACACAAGGTAACACCTGTGTGTACAACTTGCCGATGAAGAGCCTGAATCTTTCTCAGCACCATTGCGCTGTGGCCTCATGTGGACACATACTGTATGGAAGTGGGACTGCAGTGAAGGGTAAGTAACTTTGTAGGATTAATTCCTTAAAGCATAAAAGTAGAGCTAGATATAATACGTACAACCCATCAAGAATAATGATTTTTCATAAACATATTTTCCAACTCAGGCTGCTGTTAGCCTTTCTTATCTGACCATTAAAAATGAATTGCGTGAGGATGCTGGAGAAACCAAAGGAAAACATGCAGGTTCAGGGAGAACATATAAACCTTTCTGTTGCAGACAGAAAGGTTCCTGTTTATCAGCAGGTTTACATTTCTTGCTGTGAGGCATAACTGCTGACCACTTCACCGACTTGCTGTATCCATATTAGCTGGAGATAATTGTAAAATGCATTTTCATGGATACTTTGGAATTCTGTCCTATATCAGCCCAAAGTAAATTTCTTTAATTTGGTGTCTTTTTGTGATAATCATGATTAAGACCAACAATTTGCAACAACCACTATCAACCAGTAGAAACAGGCATGTTAGTACTGTTTGAACGTAGGTATTGTTTAAGTCTTTTTTTTTCCTAGACCAGAAAAAAAAAGACCAAAAGCACTGTCATATTTGTTGCTCTCTGCAGAAAAAGCAGAATCTCTTCTCTTGGTGCATTTCTTCAGTGGAGCCTTGGCATTAACTGCCATCCTGACTGGTTTTCTGGCATTCACGTTGTACAAACTGAGCAAACAGCACAGGCGGTGCGCAGGTAAGTGTTACTCTTCTAAGGCAACATTGAGTTTTGATCATCCTGTTCCATTGAAATCAAAATAATGTTTTAATTTCTTTTGTAACACCTTCAGAAACTTCTACAACTAGCACAGAGGTAAGAATCGTTTTCTACTATAAAAATTAATAATAGCATAGCATCTTTATTCTTTCTCTCCTGTAAGCTGCTGCAGCCTAGCTCTTTATACAATAATTTCTTATAACTTCTTATACAATAATGGTGGACCATTTTTTATTTTTTTATCACCAGTTACATCAAGACAGTGAAAACAAAGAAAACCTTCATTACGCTGCTTTGCGCAACCACAAGACTAACAGATCAAGAAAAAAAACAGATCAAACCCAGAGTGATTGTGTATACTCCAGTGTGAAGGAACAGAGGTGAAGAAGTGGACCAAAACTGCCTTTATTTAAGTTGCTCTGGAGGTTTCAGAAGAATGTACTTTAAATTTGTTTGAAATTGTATAAATTAAAGGTTTGCCCTTTATTAATAAAAGCTCTTTAAAAATGTATTGGGGGGGGGGGGTTGCATGAAGTGACCAATGCTGTTTCAACACAGAATGATGATGGTGCATGTCAACAACCAAGCTCAACATTTGAAAGAGAAGATTCACATTCACAGCTGTGCATTCTGCCCCCTCAACACACTGCATGCAAAATTAGCCAACCATGCTTCAGTGCTGCTTAACTGGCATAACATCTACTAAATACCAGGTCAAAGTCATTATGAGCAACTCTTGGTGGGCTATTTTTCTGTTTGCTACACAGAGAAACATCTTTCCTCTTGCTGATGTGTACCATCAAAAAGAAGAGATGCTTTTCTATCGTCTCTTTGGAGTTAACAGTAAAATATACTCTGTGGTTTCACCAGGATGTTGTAGCATCAGTAGTTCACAGAACCCCAAGGTTGACTTGTTGTCTCATGTAAAAACAAACAAAAAAAGCGCTCTGATGCGTGGTTTATGAGAGCCATGCAAGAGAAGCACTTCATCATAATGTTATACTGGCCTAACATTGTATTGTAATGGCAAATGAACTCCACAAGGCAGGCAGCAAACATAAGACATGATTTAAAAATGACCTTTTAAGTAAAGTGTACAAACAACCTGGAGGTACTGAGGATAAGTATCTTCTCTAAGGACACTTCAACTTGCAGACAAGAGGAGGTGCAAATTAGTGGTCTATATGCAACCACACTTAGACAAGCATTTTGAAATTGCTGGTTTCACAGAGTCTTGGGTAGTAGTGGCTAATGGGCCTCAGACGTTATCAGCTAATCATAAAGGATTATATTATGGTACAGTTTCATTGGTGAAAGTTTCCTTGGAATTTTAAGTAACTTGTTACAATTATGAAAGCAGATTAGCTAAAGATGCAGTGCATGTTAAACTTTCTTTGTAAAATAGACCTTAAAAGGGAACCCAAAGAACAAAGTCAGGAAGTAAAAACACAAGAAACAAACCCTCAAAAAAGAAAAAAGGAGGGTGTGTAATAGGGAACCACAGAAGAAGATACAAGGATGGTGACAGCTGTTTGCACAATCTCCATGATTTCTACATGTGCAGAAACATATGTTTCTACATGTGTACGGTTACTTTTGATATGCAATATGTTACAGATTACTATTTATCCTATTAATAACTTTTAAAAGACAAGGGTTCATCAGAGTAATGTAACTCATGACATTTGATTCATTGCTTATTGAAAGAGTTTCTAACAAATGTTAGGTGCAGTGGAGCTCAAATTAAAGCACTTACCACAAATGGGTGGACCTTTTCTTAGAAAAAGAAATCACTTAAACCTCTGTGCACTGGTGAGGTTAGCCAACAGGTTCTGTCACACAGATATTACGTGTAAGGTGTGAACATACATTAGGTCAAGTCTTCTAAATATATCTTGACATGTTTTTTCTACTTGTTGACTCTAACTATAGAAGCAGGATACTTTTATAGACTCTTTGCTGTTAACAGTAAAAATGCCTTGTGGTTTAAGCAGGATGTCTAAGCATCTGTGGCTCTCAGTTTGCTGAGGTTGATTTGTTGTATGTGCTAAAAGTCAGGTGAATGCAGTATATAGTCATTAGAGTAAAAAAAGCCTTCACAATTCTGGTTTATGAGAACCATGCATTTAAACCATTTACCCATAATGTCATTCTGTTTTCTCCTGGCCTGTTCTGCGGTATCCTAAATGACCTTAGATAGCAACATTATGACAACATTATGACAACATTATGGCGCATGGCAAGCCAGCATTTCATAGATGTGACAAACTAGCTTCTATATAATGTGCAAAACACAAAAATGGAAAAATTCAGTAAAAGTATTTGTCTCCATTGTAAAATGATGTAATCGGTTATTTACCAGCATAATCTGACTTTCCAACCTTTAAGTGTGGCTTTGAGGTAGTACTTCCTACAGTTTGTTTTTTTCAGCTGCTTCCCCTTGGTAGGAGGTGTACGGTGGGTAAGTTTGGAGTGGACCTCCTATGTGTACCTAATGGTCCTTTAGTAACTGGCTTGTTCGTGGTATAGCTCTTCCAGAAAGTTAGTCTTTCAGTTTTGGTGAGTGGAGTTCTGTTTTTGTTTCATTCAATCTTACTTTTTAAAATTTGCTAAAGTGTAGATATCGGTGTCTGTAGTTAGCAGCTTGGTTTCGCACTGGCTAGCCCTGCAAGGCTGAATCTGTTATGAGTGCTGTCACTGACACTTCAGTAAGTCAGATCTGCTGTGTGGAAGCTTGAAGCAGCGGAAATGATGGTTTACATTCTTAATGTATTCCAACTCTGGTCTCTGTGTAAGTTACAAAAGTCCACTCATAATATATCTTATATATAATATATCATAATATAACAAGCTCTTTGGCTTTCTTGATTTTGCTTTCTACATATACTGCCACCTATCTATACATGCATATGCATTACACAGCTGACTTAATTTAGTGTTATTGCTGTAAAGAAATTCCTGTTTGCTCCTGTTTGCATGCATCAGCTATTTTGGGAAATGCAACCTCAGAGTTAAGAATTTGAAAAATGTTGTGAGCATTGTGCCAGATTTGTGGTCATAGTTTTCAGCCCTTGTACATAATCAAAAACAATGTAAATACTGGCTTTATAGTGCAATATGTTAGCTATTTGGGAATAAATAGACTTACTGCTATGCTATTACAGACAGGGGATTTCAAGCATAAAAGTGTTGACATTTTATTTGAACTACAACTACATGAGGACCAATGGTGGTTTACCTAGCTCATAAAATAAAGTATGAGCTGTTGTCTCTCTTTGTCCACGCAGTCAGAACATGTGTGACGTATCTATATAAATTTCATGTTTTTTCAGAGTAGATCTGGAGTCATCTATGCTTTAGTGTCTTCTGCTCCCAGAATTTCTGCCTGCAGATCTCCAGTGAAAAACAGTCATTTCTATATGTTATGTCGTCATCAGTTTTTTGTGCTCTACATATCAAAAAATAATGGTAGTAGTGATCTTATCATAGTCCTAAACAAAACGTCATGTGCTTGTTTGAAACTCCGCATTCACTTTATTCTTACACATCGGTGGTTTTAAGCATGATTTCTTGTTTTTCTTCCCTGTTACCTAAAATGTACAGTGCTTAACAAATTTATCACACCACTAGCCATAAAAACCAAGCACAGATCTTAACTCTGTCACATTTATCAGGCAGAAAGAAAATTCCACTGTGCCAGTCTGAATCTCCCCCTCTTAGACAACGAGTAAAGAAAAGTACGCTACGTTTTTGCTTAGAAACTTGCTGATTACTAATTAACTATTACTGTTTGCAAAGGATTATCAATCTTAAAAAATTGCTTTTTTGCATTATTTTGCTATGTGTGTGTGTGTGTGTGTGTGTGTGTGTGTGTGTGTGTGAGCTTATGGTTTGTGAATTAGGAACGAAGGGGTTAAATTCATTTACTAAAAGAAACAAGACAAACAAGAAATTTCAAGTTTCTTGATACGTCTTTATTTTTAACAATTATTAAACAACAAACATATTATCACTCCAGTTACAACTATCTGTGTATACACGGGGATGGTCAACAAACTAACTACACACTTTAGAGCAGCGGTCCCCAACCCCCAGGCCTCGGACCGGTACCGGTCCGTGAGTCGTTTGGTACCGGGCCGCGAGAGTTGAGGCTCGGGTGTGTAATGTATGGTTTTCAGGGTTTTTATCGGTTTTCAATGTTATTTTGTTATCGTTTTGATCGTTAACTTGGTTTTCCTTGGTCTTTTCACGTGTGTTATGAATAAATCCTCTTTTTTTCTGTACCGGTACTAGTTTTATTTTGTTGTATTTATCCGCGACACATTAAAGGCCAGTCTGTGAAAATATTGTCGGGCACAAAAAAGGTTGGGGACCGCTGCTTTAGAGTACTTATACAGTCATGTAAAAAATGAATATAAATGAAACAAACTCGAAAATGTAATCAATCGTTATGACAAAGAATGTATGAAATCTATAATACAGATTTTGAAATGCCCTATGTCTGGGTGGGTGTTACTAATTGCGTCCAATTTTTTTAAAGTCTTTACAGTAATAAACTTATATTCTAAAAATAAAAATGTACAACGGCAAATATTGCAACTGAGTACATGAACACGTTGACACCCGTTCATCTCTTCATCTATTTTCTTCTTGAACAAATAAACTTGTGTTTAAGTTTTGCGTAACACAAGTTTGCTGAATTAACAGCTCTTTCTGACAAATACACAAATACACGAGGGTAGAAAGATCAAGAGAATCCCGGCTCTAATGATAGAGAGCCACACCAAAATTTTTACCTCAGCATCTCGGTCTTTAACATCATCGCTGATGATAAGCTTGCTTCCATTACCAAACAGCATCTCCCCACAGGAGGACACCGCACAGTAATAGGTCCCAGTATCAATGGAGCTAAGGTTCATTTTCTGCAAATGGTACACACAGCTCTGTGAAGGAGACTTCACAGAGACTGGTTTACCTTTATTTATATGTGTGTGAACAATTCCTGGGTGAGATCCGCGTCTAAACCAGTAGACGCTATGTTCTTCGTCACAGGTTCCAGTGTGTACTGTACAGTTGAACATCACTGAGTCGCCAACTTGGATGGTCATGGATGCTGGTTCTTGGTCAATTGTCTGGTGATTAGCTCCTGAAAAAAAGTAGAAATTTGAGAAGGTAGCTTTATGTGTCATTTTTTGTAGATCTGGAATGTATATGCATGTATTAATGAGCATACTGTTGATGATCTTCCCAATCTACACCAACAAAACACTAGCAGGGTTTCAAAGAAAAGGACACTGCAAAATAAACAAAAAACAAAAAAATGCACAATAACAGCAGGTAAAAAAATATACTAGCTAACTGGCAAGATGAAAAAAAATATAAGCTAAATGCACATTAGGCTAGACTGAATAGACAAAGGCGGATAAGGAACCCAAATAAAATAATAATAATAATAATAAGTGGAGAGGACAAAAAAGAAAGGAGGTAAGTAGAAATATAAAAATCCACATCATGTGTGAAATTTATGGTTTTCAGGGTTTTTATTGGTTTTTATTGTTTACTCGGTTTCCATAGGTCTTTTCCCGTGTGTTATGAATAAATATTGGGGGGGTTTTGGTACTGGTACTGGTTTTATTTTGTTGTATTTATCTGCACCACCTTAAATGCCAGTCTGTGAAAACATTGTCGGACATAAACCGGTCCGTGCGCAAAAAATGTTGGGGACCGCTGGTTTAAAGCGATTTGAGTGCTCAGTTACAGTAGAAAAGCTCCATATAAGAACCAGTTCATTTACCAGTTATAATATTTAGACAATAAAACACGACTTTTTGGATGGCAAGGATTTTAAAAAAATAAAATAAAAAAGGCAGCCAGTTGAGGTCTTTCAGACAAGGCAGACCAAAGACTCAATGGAAAGAGTAAATCTTTTGTCTGGTTTGTGAAGGCCCCAGTGTCCCCTTGGAAGAGCTGGAGGGAGTGACTGGGGGGACCTGGCACATCGGCCCTAGAGTCTAAGCATGGGAACGCTAAAGGAACATGGAATAATAGGTGTTCAGGAAAAATAGAAGCAAAATACCTCGAACACTCAGAAAGATCCCTTCTCCAAATTCCACCATGTTGGAGTGTGAGCTCCCGCAGTAGTATGTAGCTGAATCTGAGAGGCGGACACCAGAGATTTGTAGATGATTGGTCCCTTCCTTTCTTTCTACAGAGAAACGAGGGTTCTCCAATGTGTGGAGGACTTCAGATGGCTTATCATATTTGTAAATTGTAGAGAGGCGCTTAGGTTGGCTTCCTAAGAATTGTCGGTACCAGGAGAAGTGCATCGACACTTGGCTTTCATAAAAGCAACGCAAAGTCACGTCGTCCCCAACAGCAGCAAATCTCACCCCAGTCTCCTGCTTGACTGTAGCTGACTGGATCACAGCTGACAGATGAACTGTGTCAGAAAAATACACATTGTTAAAGAAGCATAATCAGGTGTGAAAATATAACCCTACCTGAATATACATGAATCTTCTACTGAGACACTTACATATCCCACAGAGGATGACACAGAGATGCATCTTTTCAGAGGTCTTGTCAACTGAAGATTTGGAGGAAAAGAGCGGCCAACAGCATAAAAACTGGGTTACTCTTGATTGGTTCTTAAAAGGGTCACCCTGTGTGTTGTTTTAAACTTCCGTCTCAGTGTCATAGAAAAATAAATCCGTTTTACAGCAAAGCCACACATGTCAAATACAGAATGTTCTACATTTCTCCACTTTTTAAATAGTCATGCAGTTATATTATCTGTTTTTAAAATATAAAATAATAATAAAATAAATATGTGGAAGTCTTTTTTTGTAATACCTGACTGTAACTATGTATATGAGACAAAACACTTATATTTGAGAAACAAATTTATATTTAAGTCCTCATGAAGTCATTTGTTTACTAAACATTTAATATTGTTTGTCAGTTATATGTAGTTATATGCAGTTTAATTGAACTTGACACAGAGAGCAAATTCAAAGTTCTTTTCAGACCAACAAGAATGATGTCCTAGTGAAAAGTTGTTCAAACGGTTCAAAACATCAGTAAAACTGACTCAGGCTAAATGTTTACTGCAGTGGAATTCAGCTCTTCTTAAGTATACAGAGATCTGGAGTGCCTCCTAGAGCTAACAAGCTGAAATGTGTGGTGAGTCAGGTGGTCGTGTTGCTGAGATTGACTCATAGAGGCAGACTATGATCTCAAAGGATCAGCTGACAAAGAAGACTCTTGGAGGTCGTATAGAGTTTTAGAAGCTGCATCCACAAACAGAGCTATTTGTGATATAAACTGTCTGATTTTCTAACAGACCTAAATTTGCATATATTCAACTAGGCCTATAAACCCTTTTCCCATTTTCTTCCATGTATATAGCATTATATGTTTGATATGAATGCTCATCGAACAAATTCAAAGTTTCATAAAATGAGATTATTGAATGTAAAAAATGCTTCTTCCACTCCAGTGTTTTCTACCTGTGAGCAAGAACTGATCTCCCTAAAAGAACAGAAGCCCCACATTCAGGTTAGTTTTCTGTTTAGAAAAGGCAGCAACTCCCAAGGAAATCTGCAGACTCATTTCAGACGGCGGATGAACCAAGGGCCTATCAGACACAGTAAAAGATAAATACAGATTATTTGGTATTAAAGAATAAAATACCAGAGCTAGAAGTGAGCATAACAATTTATTTTTAATATAACTGATAATAAATTTGTCATTTATTCATGAAAGCACGTAACGTAACTTACTGGCCTCATTAACATGCAATTCCTGGTGAGTCTCCCGTTCAAACACACACATCAGAGGGGTCAGTGTTTTTTATACATCCACTGTTTAGTTAAATGATATAACTTAGACATGACAAGGAAACAGAGGCTGTGATAACTACATTAAAAAAGAGCTGAACAAAAGAACATGTTGGAAGACTTTGTGTTCATGAAACACGAGATAGAACAGAAT